TTATAAGATGACCATCATTGCTTGCACCGTAAATGTGACGCTAACTAAACTGGATGTACTGTTTGTTCGGGAACATATTTTATATGTGGTCGTTATATTCCACCGTGCAACTTAAAATATTTTTTATCTGGAATATCTCGTTCTAAATTTTGGGCCGCAGTGATCAATACTATTAATAGATGATTTTAAATCCTGAACAGGACAATATTCGGAGAGTATTTGTCAGGAAAACTTTATATCATTACCAAATCTCAGCGCCGACGTCAGAATTCTCAATAGAAAAACCAGCAAAAGATAAAGTTACGAAATTTTACACCTTTTGTAAATATTAAAATTTTGAAAGAACATTTTAATGGTTAAACTCCACGTGGGCTGTTTCCGCTCCACAGCGTGTCTATGGTAGCGAGAAGGTAGCAAACAACATTACTGAGTCGTTTTTTTTTTTTTAACTGCAAAAATAACAGTCCTTCCAAGATGGCAAGCTGATCAAAGATGGAAAGGAGAATTCTGATTGGTTCCCTGAGCGGTTCGAATTTGCAACATCGAAGTAGTTTTGGCGAATTGCTTTTCTCCAACCATCCAACAAAAGAAAGCAATGAAGACTGAGAAATCTCAGTGTTTTGTTTGTTTTATTGACATCATATTTGGTGGGCAAGTTGAACTTAATTCTGACCACTGCTACCTGAATTGAAGCACAATCAACGTGAAATACTCACCTGCCGCGGTTTACCTGCAGGTTTTTCCGTCTCCTGATAAAGGATGGTTGCACGTACATGTGTAGGATCCTACAGTGTTCGTACATGAAGCTGAACGGTGGCAGTCGTGTACACCGCTGACGCACTCATCGATATCTGTGGGTAATAATGAACAGGGCAGAGAAAGAAAACAGACATAGATAATCTTGTACTTTGTCACTAAAAGAGTTTTATAATGTTCTGAAGTAAGGAGTTTTCATTGGTAGTACTTTAGTAGTACTTAATCGTAAATTTGATAGGACGTGTCGTGATTACAGGTTCACCATTGTTTATTAATAAAATCTCTCAAGGGAAATAATCCTTGTTGTAGAGCGTTGTCATGGCAGCCATATTGCTGTTCCTGGTCAATGGAACATGTTTGCATATCAAAAGAACCCGTTTTCCAATGAACGTATGAGAAATGTCATTTTTGGGGATTTCTTGTTTATACCCTTGAGGGTTTTTTTCCGTGAATAGAGCCAAATTAATATCCACTCTTTTTTTCTGTTACATTCAAAAGGAGACTGAGCTCACTGAAAATCATAAATATATTTTACATACTAGAAATTGGTTACCGTGTGGCACGACATTTTTGCGGGAGTTTAATTTTTCGGATAGGCGATATATTTTTCTTTTTTTGCGGGAACTAATTTTTGGGATTGTGAAAGACTGGTTCTTCGTGCTGGGTATTTATTTTTGCAATTTTCAGAAAGTGGCGTTTGCGGCGTTTTTTGTTGCACTTTACGGTAAGTTGTAAGACGTGGTAAGGCGCGGTAGACTCGTGCATGGTTAATGCGCTCGTCTCAGGATTGAGCGCTCCGGATTTAAGACCTGACCCGGGACATTGCGTTGTGTTCTTGGGCAAGACACTTAATTCTCACATTACCTCTCTCCACTAAGGTGTATAAATGGGTACCGGCGAACTAAATGTTGGGGGTAACCCTGCGATGGACTAGCATCCCATAGAGGGGGGAGTACAAAATTTTCGTAGCCGCCCCTTGCTACGCGATAAGCTCCGGCCTGGTGAAACGGGCCACTTGGCTCGTATGCAGACTTTACCTTCATGGCAATCAAGTAGCCAGTCACTCTAGAACAATTACATCCTGCCCCAGTGTGGCTGGTAGTGCCTTCAGATAATCCTTTTCCGTTAAGTTTAAGCAACTACACCTGTCGTGTACATGTACCATGGGCAATTTCACCGTTTTATTTAAAGAGACGTTTTAAATAAATGGCATCAGCAAGATTCTGCGTATGAGGCTTGTTTGCATAATTGCGACAATGGAGTAAAATTGTACGGGGAAAATTTTTTTGCAAATCGAGGAAAAAATGCAACTTGAAAATAGCAAAAAATTAGGACCAGAAAAAACTTGTCCCACACTGTAGGGGAATAGTCTGGTTCTCATGTGGCGTCATTTCATTTCGCAGTGTTTCTCTTTTTTAAAAAATCTATAAATTTTATAGTTCTTGTTAAGCAGATATAACTTACCAGTGCAATTTTTGCCATCTCCTGAGTATCCAGGTTTGCACGCGCAAGTGTAAGATCCAAGTGTGTTGTTACAAACAGCATTCACATCACAGCTATGAGACTTTGAAGAGCACTCGTCTATGTCTAAAACAAGATTAAAGGAGTAAATGTGGTTTAAACGTTGAGCTATCGTTCTGACCATTTCACCAAAGAAGCATACAGCTTAAGAACAGTCCGTCGAAAATTTACTGTAAGCACAGAATGTTTTAATGAAAAAAAGATTAATTTTACTTTCCACACTCTCTGAAATAAAGTTATTACGGGGTTAAACCATTTTTCTATCAGCCTTCTCATTGCACAAGAGCGATTGGTTACAGTTTTTTCTAAGCCTATCAATGCAAGAGAAATTTCATAGTTGTTGAAAGTAAAGTGAGATTGTTATTAAATTCAGTATCAACATCAAATGTTGTTTGTTTATTGGTTGGTTGGTAGATTTCTTACCGTTGCAAGTTTGTCCATCTCCCGTATATCCAGCTTTACACTTACAGGAATATGAGCCCACGGTATCCACACAATCTGCATTCACGTCACAGCTATGAGTGTTGGTGGAGCATTCCTCCAGATCTGCAAAAATTAAATTTGAAGAAAAAAAAACGAAATAGTCATCAAATGCACGAGTAATGTTTACAGTACTAGTTCGTAACAAATTATTTTGAAAATGAGTCATGGAACCTTTTTGAGTGCGCAAGATTATCCTTGCTAAATTCTGGAGAGTTGGCTTTTTTTTATTTGTACATTACGATGTATTTTAACCGCATTGAGCAAGAGATTTATCACCTGTAAAGCAAGTAAAGTTGAAGCAGTTATCGCATGGCACGTCATTCCAAGTGTATCCATGCCTCACGCCAAGAGTGTACACACAGTCTTCGTTGTTCCAGTTGTTTGGTTGCTTTGGAGCCCAGAACCTAAAACTGCTAATTTCTTTG